AGGAATGCCACCCAACACTCACCCTCTCCGCCACTGCCCGCACTGACTGAATGCTGGTCCCATAGAGATTGTCATTGAACTGCCCAGCCTCTATGAACTTGTTGTCCTGGATGTCTTTCTCCATCTGTTCGCGGGATATGACAAAATGATAGTCTTGTCCGTCCACCTCGTTCTCGCGCCGAGGCCTGGTGGTGTCTGGAGGAGAGCAGCCATCATGAGCAAACCCAGAGCAGTGCACGTTAAACCTCCTGGGAGGGAGAAAACCCACCTGTGCTCCTGGCCCCCTCCCCACACCACAGGCTGGACCCTGCAAGTAGCAAAGCCACTGCTGTCACCTGCTTCCAGCAAGGGCACCGAGCACCAGCTGGGACTTACGTGGCACGCAGGAACCAAACTTGTGGGGGAATTCGGAGATGAGGTCGTCGTTAATTCGGTCCTTTGTGGGCCCCAGGATGATCACCGGCCTCGCGTAGTGAACTGTGAACAAGAGCCACCACCCGAGGCCCCGTCAGCGCTGCAGGCAGCTGACCCCACTGCTGCTCCTGGCATCAACCTGCCCTCTCCCCGCTGGCACCGGGTGCTCCTGCTCACATGGGCCTCCTCCGTGCGAGCTCATCTCCTCCTGCTCATGGCCAGCATCTCCTTCCCATCTGACCCAAACCATCTGCGCAGCCCCAGGGAAGATGCTGCGGGTCTCCAGGGTTACGGATCAGCAAAGCTACTTCCTTGCTCAGGGCAGGAGCCAGACAACCGGGACAGCTGGGCTCGCATGGCACGGAGCTGGGAGAGGGACGGGAGCCTGAGAGACTGATCCAGCCTCTGGCAAGGAGAGACCACTGAGGCTGGGACTGTTCAGCCTGCGAAAGGGTCTGCAGGGACTGAGCATGGAACAGGGTCAAACGCTGAGGGCTGGGGGGTTGCTCTGCAGCAGGGACCTGGCCCAAGGCAGGGAGGGATCCCGTCCTCACCCGGGGACTAACACCCAGCTCAGGTTTAGCTCGGGATTTCTCCCTTGGTGTTGCAGACCCACAACACCACACTTGTGACCCAGGTCACAAGTCTTTGCGGTTGCAAGCCTAACCCCTTGATCGCCCCTTTTTAATCAAGAGCCTGGCTGCCCTGCTGCACACAACGGACATGGAACTCCACTGGCGTTCACCCAGCATCGTGCTGGTGTGGCAGATGCTGCA